CCCTGCCCTCAGCTGCCCCTGCTGTGCAGGGGCAGCTGCGCTGAGTCTTCCTCTTTCGGAGCGGGGAGCCCCAGAAGCCATGGGGGCAAGGTGCTGAGGGGCGCGCGGCCGAGCTGGGCGTGAGGTTCCCGAGAACGGAGCAGCCAGAGTCCACCCCACACCCCAGCGGCTCTGGGCCTGCCCGGTCAGCGTGACACCCCCGGCCCCGTCCGGGCTGGCTCTGGCCGCACTCTGCACCCACCGGAGTAAACGTACACCCCAAGTTGCTGCTGCAGTGCGCTGCTGAGACATGCCCCGAGCACCGAGGGCGGGACACGAGCCCGCCCATGAGGCTGAAGGCCCGGCACGCTTATCAATGGGCCCCGCAGACCGCACAGCCCCGCTGCAGGGCGCGACCACCAGCCGGAACGTGCTGCCGACACGAGACCGTGGCCCGAGTCCCGTCCGCGGTCGCCAGCACGGGCCTCACGGCGCTGCCTTCCCCTGCCACGCACCCCGGCTCCACGTCACCCCGCCCGGCACGCAGGGTGTCCAGCCACCGTGCTCCCTCCACAGCAGGTGCCACGTCTGAGCTGCGTCCCCCTGCCCGCCCGCCCTCTGAGACAGTGGCACTTCCAGTCAGGCTGTGGAGTCGCCAGGCGTGGGGTGGGGCTTCTCCAAGACACCCCCACGAGGGGGCTTGCTGGGCCCAAGTCACATGTGCTAGCAGAACCTTCCCGTTGCCCCCACAAACGCTGGGACGACGGAAGCGCCCCCGGTCGCGCTGCTCTGTCGCAGGAGGAAGGGCGGTGCTGGGAGTGTGGTGGGTGGGTGTGGCGCAGCGAGCGCCCACAGCCCCAGACCGCCTGTGCCCTGGGCCCGGGGCCCGAGTCCCTGGTATTCTCAAGACCCAGGGCCAGTCCTCGGGCCTCGGCACCCACCCACGCCCTGCAGGTCCTGTCCCGGGACTCCTACACAGACGCGGCCACGGGCCGAGGGGCCACAGCCCTCCGGCCACGGCCACACGTGACACAAGGCAAGGAAGCCTGTGGCCAATAGCGCCGGCAAGCGCTCGGGGCCACGCGCCCCGGTAGCAGGCCCTCGCCGGCCACAGCCACGGAAGCACTACTGCGCCACGCACAGTGGCACCGGGGCCAGCAGGACACGCTGGGTGAGCAGCCTGCGAGTGAGCACAGAGGCGCCGGAAACATGTGACTGGAGGAGTGTGGACGGCGTTTCTGTGAGCACACGGGGGCGCCCCTCTAGAGGGCGAGGAAGCGGGGCCCCGCCTGCCCGAGGCAGCGTGCAAGCCCCCC